ATTTCAAGAGTATGGGATGTTGATTTTTGTGGGACTTGAGCCTTGACTTGCATTGAGGTGTTAAAAGTTCTTTTCCTAGCTTTAGGAGTTCTTGTTTGGCCTTGCTGGGCTCGGTTTGATTCTAGTTGGGAGCTTGGTTTGCTTGTTTTAGCTCCTGCTTGAGAGCCCATGACTGATTCCTTATACTTGTCTTTACTCGAGGGCATTCGTAGCTCACTTTGCTTGTCTTTGGCCCTTACCCGAGAGCCTGTTGGGTGGCCTGTCTTGTGCATTTTTCTGCCCCTACCTGAGAAATGGCTTTGGTTATGATTTTTGTTGGCTCTAGTTGAGAGCTCGGTTTGCTTTGCCTTGCCCTTACCCGAGAGGTGGTTGGCTGGCTTTGATTCCTACTCCTACCCGTGAAACCCATTGGAATTTCTTGAGTTTAATTTATCCCCTCTTGTTGAGTTTGAATCATTTGAATGATTATAGAGGGATTAAACTTGTTACCTTGAGAGATTGGTGATATTTCATACTCTCCTATGTATATCAAAGTTTGTAGGGAATTGAATCAAGTTTGCTATCCCAAAAATTAGGATTACTTTAGTTGCCCTTCGGTGTTTGTCGGGGGAGCGTTGTAGCAGCTATTGGTGCTTCTTCTGTTTGCCTTAGGTGTGAGCCCCCTTTGTGCTCTGGGTTGCCGTAGCCGTGGGCCTTACTTGTGCTTTGGATGTGGGCTTTTGCAACTGCTCTTTGCTGCCTTAAGCCGTGAGCTTTAACAGTTCTTTCTTAGGTCCTTTGTTGTCTTAACCGTAAGTCTTATTTATTGTCTCTTGGACTGCCTTTGGTTGTGAGTCTTGGCAGCTGTCCCTTGCTTTAACCGTGAACTTCTTTTGGCCCCGTTCCTTGCCTTGGCCGAGAGCTTTGGTGGTTGTTTCCTCCCTCTATTGACCCTAGCCGTGAGCGTTTATCTGGTTTTATGGGAAGATTTCGTGCTTATTTAATGTATGAGGTTATCCATTAATCTGAAAGTTGGAGGAATTTCGATCTTAGTATGAGTTTGGAAATATTGACGGTGGTTTCCCCGTGATCATTTTTTTTCGAAGTTTGGAAAATTTTAAATCTCATTTTGGGAGAGCATTTGGTTGATTTGATTAATCCTGCGTTCTTGGGGTTTGGAGAATCAGCGCAAAGGAATATTTTATGTTTGTTAGGAAAGACCTCGGGCCCTACTTTTCCAGGTCTTTT